ACCATGGCCAGGTGTTGGCATATCAATCACGTGTAATGGGAAGTAGTAATCTTTGAGATCATTTTGTACAATTACATTTGAGAGTAGACTGGGATTATCATCTACCTCATAGGCATGAAAATGTGAATTCCAACCAAGGGTATTCAATGTWTTAATGATAAATCGAATGTTGTTTGGATTTCTTTCAATTATACAAATTTTCCTCAGCTCAGCAAATTGTGCATCTCCATTTTGATCATTACCAATGCAAACAATGCAGCCTTCTTTGTATGTCGTTCCATTTATAGTTACCCATTTAGCTCTAGACAAAAATAAACAAACAAAAAAGAAAATAAGGTCACATGGATTGTAATTAATTAGGTACTTCCAGACCCAGAGACTGGCTTCCTTCATGGTTTTCCATCCAACTTCATTTAGACTATATGATAATTATAAACCAACTGCTGATCATATCGATTAAATATTCCAATTTTTAAAATCTCATATACACACTCTGTGAGACTTGTTTGCCTGTCTATTTGGAGAACTGCATAATATGGGACATCACCAGCAAATGTGTTTTTACCTGTAGAATATAAACAATAAAAGTATTATATTAAAGTATTATAATAATAAATTATTATTAAGATGATGATGATGATCATCATTGTCATCATGTATCATCTCCATCATTATTATTATATTTATTATTAGTATTTACAGCAGTAAGAGTATAGCAGCAGTAGTAGCAGTTGCAGAATGCTAGTAGCAGTACATACTTGCAGTGGCAGTCATAGTAGCAGTGGCATGAGCAGGAGTAGTGCGAATAGCATAGCAATACAGTAGCAGCTAGTATAGACCTAGTAGTAAAGTATTACTATTTGGATTATATATAGCTTATTGCTTGCTATATTTTAAATAAACTGAATGTATGAATAATCTGATAAAACTGTTTTAATTGATATTAATTAATAAAAAAAGAAGAATGAATACCAGGACCAATTTCTACTCCTTTTGTTATAAAGGAGGAAAGGTGCCAAGGAGAGGTCTGGAGTTGGTAACACAGCCACTGTTGGTGTCTTTTAGCCAGGGTCAAAGCAATGTTTTTAAAACTCCCAAGAGAYAGTGCCAGCTTTTTGAAATAGTTGTGTTTTGCTTCAAATCTGAAGCACCATGAACGTACAAGTGGTCCTAATCTGAAATTTAAAGAAATTAATACAGGTAMATTAGTGTAGTCCCTTTCACAAATTGCTGCAGCATGTTGAAAGATAGCCATATGCCTTTGCATTGTGTAAGCATGACGAATTGTAGGCTTGCAATGATAGAGACATGTAAATAATTCATTGCAAACTCACCGTTCGTCTTGCATCAAATCCTTAAACACAACAAAATTCCTTAAATAACTTCCTTTGATCAAAAATCTGTTCTTCAGATTATCAATTATAGACCCAACTCATCTTGGTGCAATATAATTTCTCATTACAGACAATGTGTCATTTTGTAGTAGATATTGAATATTTTTTGTTTGAGTTTTATTGGTGCGTCTTCTTTAAAATGTGCAGCTAGTATATAGACATAGGCTACACAATGAAATGATAATAATATTACTATACTCTTGTGGGAATGACGTGTGGTCTGAAATTGGAAAACATTACACCAAGAAGATGAATTAATAGGTTAATACCTAAGTATAGTATTTGGTAGATGAATCATGTAGTGCATCTTTGGTGTAATGGGACTGTCAGGATATAACATCTTGAACTGACTATGGTGTTCCTCTATTAGAACTTGTACATATGCTATTTGGTTTTCACCAACAGTAGGAGCAAACAGTATGTCTGTTAYTTCTAACAGCTTGCAAAACAAGCACCAGTACTCATTGTCTTCCGGAATAAGGGAACCAATTAACAATGGCATAAACTTTGCTAAACACCACATTTGGTTGGCTTAAAATGAAAAAGCAAGGGAGAAAGTTAATAAAGAAGCTCATTGTATTAAACAACAGTTCATGTGCATGATCACAATTAATCAAAGGACGTAATAATTATTAACAAAAAGCTGCCCTGTGTTTTAAAGAAGAGCGCATTTTAAAAAAGTTGCACCACCCAAACATGATTAGTAATTAGAATATAATATATATGTTAATGAAATCTTTGTTTTGAGAAAAAAATCAAAACTCGAGTCAAAAATAATTTATTTTTTAACCCTTCAGTCAAAGACGTTTCTTCATGTATAAATAGTAATAAATTATAACCTTTCTGATTCAAGGTGTGACCTGAAGTTGTCAGTCTTCAGTTAGGGGAAATGGCTTGTTGGAATCATTATAGTAACYATAATCAAAGGCAGCCWTCCTCTTGTTAAGTTCATCCAAAGTAAATAATTGTTGGTTGAAAATTARCTCATTCAGAAGTTCTTTGACCTCATACTGAAAAACACCTTCCAGAATATCATGCATGGCATCTGCTGRTAGCCCACCAATCACATGATAATATCTTGAGTTGTTAAGTGAGCAATACCTAAAATATAATGCATATGCATGAGAGGTTATACATTGCCCCTATGGCCATGGAGGAAATCGGAAATTCCCAGCAGGCAGGGTCAGGAGGGGTCAGAGGAAAAACCCTGGGGAAAACCAAAATTGCAAGGTTTGTGTCGAAGAAAATTAAAAATTCCAGATGCAAAGTAGGGTACAATCCTTTTTCCAATATCYTCTTTGCATGCACATAATGGATATTTTTGGAACTCATGTTTTCAAAGTATAAATGACTACTGTATGTATTTGGCAAMGGTACTATAACTAGCTAGGTCAGGTCACTAATAGCCCATGATAGCTTAATGTTGTGTCACGTCTATGCATTTTTTGTCGTAAAATAAATTTTTACAACGTTGCTTTTATTTACCACAGTTTTCACCACGTGTHAGAGTAGGATTAAGAAATGAAACTCTGTGTGATGCTGCCCGCAGTGAATTTGTTCGGGATGTCTGCAATTCAATACGACTTTTTACGATGTATCCGTCCAAAACAGAGAGTACCCCTTCCTTGCTGATTCGTTGGGTAGTGGCTTTGTAAGTATATTTTGGCCATTTCTATATGTT